GTGCTGTCAGAAATCCGCGTTAGAAGTACAGCCAGAAATGCTCCTTGGAAGCAAGGATAGCAAGACTTCATCTCCTGTTCTTCAGCCACGTTGTTAGGAAGATCGATCCTGGAGAAGGCCCTCGTGCTTTGTGATAGAAAACAGGACTCTCAAGGACATTGACTGGCACGGAGGCTGCAGTGATGGGCTCAAATACAGCAGGGACTGTGACGAAGGAACAGGCTGACCACTGTGTAGAGCTGACATCTCATGACAAAGATGTGAGTATGGAACATGTGCGTGGTTACAGGTACGTGAGTGTAGTGTAAAAAATACATTCACATGTGTGTGTTTGTGTGTTCTTTGTCTTGAGTGTGGGAGGGGGGCAAGAGAAGCAACACAGTAAACTGATATTATTCCAGGTCAGCACAATTCTTGATAATTTTCAAATCATGTAGCATATAGAAAAAATAATCAAGGCATCAATGAGTAAAAAGTTATGAAAATGGCTCATAAGCTTTGTGGCTGATTTTCTTGGCACTTGTTTAGCAATAATTTGTTTTAACTGCTTAGTGATTTACAGACTCAAGACATCAGACCTGCAAGAAATTCTAGAAACCTTGTCAAATGGCCCAGAATTGCCTGAGAACCTGGTTAAAGTATAAACTTATCCAGGCTGCTCTCCAGAGCTACTGAGTAAGAATCCTAGGAGTGGAATCTAAGGGCTGGTACTGTAGAAATGCTTTCCAAAAGACAGTCAGGTGCAGTCCTGGGCCGAAAATCGTTAAGAGTAGTTTCCATTAAAAGAACAGAGTAAAAGATGCTCTGACACAGCTTCTTGGGACTAACTCAAAGCTTGGAGAATGACATTTTGGAAGGGCTTTGTAAGAGTTACGTGAAAGCTGTCTTTATGAAACCCTGGGCCGGGGCATTTCCCCACTGGAATTTACCGAGCTTTTTCTCTTTAGGATGCAATGAGGTTTATTACTATAATTTACTTCATTTTAAGAAAAAAAAAATTTCCAGAGAAGAGAACAAAAGAAAACATCTCAAGTTTTTATAATACTCTTCTATTTTTATATCAATACCTATGATTTTAAAAACCTTTGTTGATAGCACATAAAATAAAATTATAGTTTAATCCACTTAAGAATTTCAAGACAACTGGAAACTAAATGCTAATGGAACCCATCAGTAGCATTAAAAAACACACAGAAGACTACCAAGTAGGAAATAAGAATGGTTCCATAATAAGGAATTCTATTGCTTATTATTAGGCTCATTTATAGACTAAAAGAGACAATTCGTATGAACTACTTATAAATATGGAAAAGTCACTTCATAAATATCAACATTCACTCATTACAAAAATCTGTTTATAAAACATGACTGGACAGTCACGTACAATACTGAAAAATACACACACATGCAAATTTACCTCTTTTCTCCCCTAAAAACAATTATTCTGAATGGAAAAAACAAAGACGAAAATGCTCACATCTCTGCCATACAGTTTTGCAAGTCCTAGCCAATGCTGTTCAGAAAGATGTATAATAACTGAAAGGTAAAAGTATAAATTATCGTGATTTGGAAGTAATAAAAATAAATTAGAAAATTACTATAGAGAAGAAATTTCAGCAAGGAGACTGGCTACAAAATTTGCATAAACAAAAGCATATCTTCCCTTTATATATGTAACAAACTAGAAAATAAAATTGAAGGATATATTCCTTTCCAAAACTGATACAAAAAGATAAATAAATAGGAGCAGACTTAACCAGAATTGGGTAAGATATATAGGAAGAAGTCATCTGGAGTGGCTGCAGTCTACAGAGGTTTGGTTTCTGGTTCTGGTGAGGATTAGGGTGGAATGTTTACTTGCCATTGGGTGTGAGTTACAGAGGTAAATCATCGCTGTGATGCTAAACACTGTGACACTGATGTGTCAAATGCGATAATGGTCACCCATGGTGGACAGTGTTTGGTGGAGCTCCCCGATTAAAACAAGCTTGGAAGCAGGAGTGGCATCCACTTCCAAAACAGCTTGTCTCTAGAAACTTATAAACTTGGAGAAACTATGAAAGTTATCCAAGTGTTCAGGTCTTTTGTTCATAGGGTTGCTATGAGTCGTCTATGACTCTATGACACTTAACAATAACAACAACAGCATATAGGAAGAAATTATTAAAATTTTATTGAGGGACATAAAATAGATCTGAATAAGTGAAAACATCATCACCTGGGATAAGAAACTCAAGGTTTTAAAGATGTCAATTCTCTGTAAACTAATAGGCAGGTGTAACACAATTATGCAATATCAATTAAAAATTGTTGGGGTTATTTTTATGATGGATTAGATAATACATGGATTTAGGATAAATGATTATCCATTTTGTTGTTGTTGTTTTAAAGTATTTTATTTTGTATTATTTTAAAGGGAGCAAGAGTTCCAGGGTGAAACAATTAATTAAACACTACACTCCTCATCCAAACATTTATGGTTCAAATTCAACCAGTCATTGTTGTTAGGTACCATCAAGTCTAGTACACTCGATCTGAACGCTATCCTATCCTGAGCCATCCTCATATTTCCTGACACACTAGAGTCCATTGCAGAAGTCACTGTGTCAGTCCACTTGGTTGAGGGTCTTCCTCGTCGTTGCTGACCTTCCACCCTTCCGAGCATCCATTTAAGGGACAACATTTTTTAAATTATATGGTTTTGGCTGAGATTTATTGCCCCAGTTTTAGCATTGAAAATCCCATCTTCCAAGAAACCCCTCAATCCCAGAGGAATGCTGACTGGTCATTTTAATCTCAACCTTAACTCTCACAAATTTTGTGAAGAATGCACAGAATTCAAGAAGATATTTTCAAATTATGTATCTGATCAAGGATTTATAGCTAGAATCTTGCACTGCCAACTCAAAGACATGGAGTTCAAATCCACCAGCTGCTCCTGGGGAAAATATTGGCAATCTCCTCCCAGCTGACTTACTACCTCCAAAAACCATGGTCATATAATATTTGTTGAACATGATTTTTCCCCCTTTCCATCATGTCAATTTTTTAATGTTTTTCCATTAAAGTACATTTTTGTTTTTCAAACTGGTCCTGCATAGTTTCTTGTATTATTGCAGTAATGACATTTGTTAAACACAAAGGTTACAGTGCTTCAAGGCTTTATTTCCTAGCAAAATAAGTAGCCTATTTATTCTGTTCTTCTGCTGTGCTCTCCCCAGCCAACAGATACGAGGGCGGTCCAAGTGAGAATGAGTCGTAGGTTTTAGAGAATATACATTGATTCATAGTTTATAATCCAAGATAATTAGAGGAAGACCTCAAGGACTTAATAAATTTTTCCTACTGAAGGCAACCTTGTGAGCATTTTCAAATGCAGAGACCACTGTAGGTCAGAGTAGGAACTTGGGAAGCACCTACGTCTTTCCTCACTCTGTACTAGCCAGGCACTTTTGGAAATAAGATTTCAGCACTGAGAGCATTGATTTCCTATGAAGTAGAATATCTACTGTCTAGTTTCCTAATTTAAACATGTGGAGATAGTAACAGATGGCTCCCAGAAGTGCTGTGGGTGCTAAATGAGATCTTGTGTCTGATATTCCAAGGATGTGGAGTAGACCATTCTCCATCATTCTGACTTTTCTTGGAGTCCCTGTGTGGTACAAAGATTAAGAAAGCTTAACCTCCATTCAGGGGCG